CACCACCAGCCGAACCACTGGGTGCAGTGATTTTAATCCTGCTAGTTATTATTGATGAGTAAGTTCGCATCTCCAACGCCTGTGGAAACAGAAAAGCTAGAAATCATTGCAATAGGTAGTGCGGCTGTATCGTGCGACCATACCTGCGTCGCGGGATGTTTGTGGAACGGTGCCTCTTGGTGCTCGAGAAATATGCATGGGTTTGCGCCAGAACTCTTCAACAGGGATTAAAATCACTATTAAGTTCTGGGAATAGGAGTGTAAAGTTTTCGCCATCATTCGCTTCGACGCCTCAAGTTTCTTGTGACAGACTGTGGGATGTTGACTGCTGATTAGTGAATATTTGAGGATGAATTTAGGTGCCACACACCCTCACAACACTATGAAGACTGTGCTCGGCGACTAATAAATAGGTCGTTTCCCGATCAAAGGAACGTATCTTCATTCCTGAGTTGGAACATTGACTCAAACAATTGAATTTTTTACAAGAATCTACATGCTCGATTATTTCCCCAAAATTTGTCGGATTTTTGCATGAGATCAAGAAATAAATCAGGGAAATTTTCGTTAACAAATGCCCAAGATTTTCCCGGTAAAAGTGCAATTTTCGGGGGGAAATTTGGCAACACTAGAATGTAGTTACGTTTTTTCGTGGAGGAGACAACGAATAAAGACCCTTATCCGATTTCTTGGTGACGGGAGGAAAGTTCTCCTTTTCCTCCACTCAACATTTGATATTGCCTTCTTGTTGGCCGTAAAGCGACGCGACGTGTCAAGAAATTGGACTATTTTTGCAATAAGGAACCATTTCTGGCTCATCCATATTATCCCCTAACTTCATGGGGAAACTGATGGCACATCTTGTAATGCTCCTAGAATGCTCTTAGGCTGAACACCTCTTATCACATGGGTTACATTTTGAAATAAGGATTCAACATCTCTGACTCTCCTATAAAGGCAAATATCTGTATAAAGAAACCAGTGGCAAGTATAAAAAGTAAGTAGTACAAGTAGTAAAAGTATAAAGTTTCTAAAATGGACCAGAAATATTGGTTCCTTTTTGCAAAATGGAATTCGTATAACGTCGCTCCTCTACCGCGATGAGGGCGTATCTTTAATTCAAAATGAGCCCTAAAAAGTATGCAGATATGTGGATTAGAAGGCTCACTCGAAAATGAGGAGCTTGCCGGAAAAAGGGCACATAGTAAAAAATTGCGTTAGAGAAAAATGCATTTGGAGTTTCCAGCATTACTCTATGGCCACTGACTGTGACATACGTTCGAAATCGGGAGACAAGCTGCGATGTAAGTTACCATCAGTGGCCAGAAAGTAACAGTGGAAACTTAAAATTCATTTCCTTAAACGCGATTTTTCGCTATGTGCCCTTTTTCCGGAAAGCTCCTCAAATGTGGATACTGGAAAAAAAACACATTGGATCTTTTAAGAGTCCAGACTCTTAAAAACATCGACAAGAAAATATACTCTTGACTCAAGCAGATTTTAGCTTAAATCATGAACCAAGCCTCTTAATTTAAGCGGATTTCCTTTTGATTTAAGCTTAAATCTGATTGAATCAAGAGTCCTTTTTCTTGTCAATGTTTTCAAGAGTCTGGACTCAAGATCCAATGTGTTTTTTTTTTTTTTTTTTTTTTTTTTTTTTTTTTTTTTTCCCAGTGTACCTACTCCGCTTAGTCAGAGGAGCGACAATCAAACGTGGCAGCCCTGCAGCTTCATGATTAAGCGAAACCAGATCCTACGCATCGAAAATTGAAATCATGGGCCGACTAAGGTTGGTGCCCTAGTTTGAGTCAAACCGCGTTCTTTATAACGGCGCGGCCTTTCGCCGATTCCTTAAAAAATTCTCGACATTTTATTTTCCGGGAGGAATGCGCGGGAAGCCCTCGTAAATTCCTCCGCTCTAAAATGTTCATCAGCATCCCTCATCTCGGCGGTCTCTCATAGCGCCAGAAGCGGCGCGATGAGATAAAAATTAGCGGGATATTCTTATGACTCCCCCGTTCCGTTCCGTTCCGTTCCGATTCGACGGAAATACTTATTTTCGCTGATTAGCGACCGATTCAGGACACAGCATCGCTATCCTAAGCGCGTCCCCGCGCAATCCCCCGCCCCTCCCCCGCATCGCTCCCCCTCAATGCGGCAGTCCCTTCCTCCCTTCGTAACACCCCCCCCACTTCCGCGGGTCCCTGGTCGGGGTAATGATCCGGAATTTTGCCGGCGTCGAGACGAGGCGACTCAGGCTGCTCACACTGTTGTCGCCCTCCTGATAATTATTCACATTGTAAATGGGATCTGCAGGGATATTATTCGTTTTTACGGAAAATTTGGCAATGGTTAAGCAGTCAGCGTTGCAACCCTTAGAGACTCCTTCGATTTTTTGTTGATAAAAAAAATAACAAGGGCGATGGATGGAAACACGTAAATTTCTGCCTGACACTTGCCGGCTTCTGAACAGAATGGTGATCGTTTTGCTCACGAATAATTTGTAAATAAATTAAAACGAGGGTACACAAGTTTTTGCACGAATACAAAAAAAGAATTACAAGTAAAAATAAAATAAATCGAAATTATAATATTTAAAGTACATGATAATAAAAATATGCAAATAGTGTGAACAAAATTAAAGAAACCTGCAACATTTTCGAAGTTCTCATTCAAAGAACAAAATCAAAACTTGTCGCAAATTCAGAGGCGGCTGATATATGTACAACGGGGATTTTTCCTCTCTTTTTTCAAAAATGGTGAATGTGACGGCGCACAGAGAAACGAGCTAATGGAAGAGATCGGACATAAATTTGTTGACTAAAATTTCAAATTTTGATGTTCACTTTGGCACAAACTCCATTTCAAGGGATGTTTCTGAGAGAAAATGTCAAGAAATAAAACCCATCGGAACAACTTTTGAGCTTTTTTGTTTCATATTTTTGAAAATATAAGCTTTCAAAGTTTCCAGATATTGTCCAAATTCCCCTACTGACCCAGTCCGGTGTGCGGCGCTTAGTGGATTCCCCGTTCAAAACAGCCGCCCTCATGGTGTTTGCGTATGAATTGTAGCTGTAATGAAATTCCTAAATATTTTTGTCCCTAAAATGGATTAATGTATTAATGTTAAACTTATGTAATTAGAGGCAAAAGAAGCTTGTATCCTAAATGCTATATTTTCCGCTTCCCTAAAAATAAAATTGAAACTTGGTGGAAGCGTCAAAAAATTGATCAATTTCAACGAAACGTCAAAACAGCTTTCCTCAACATGGAAAGGGATCGTATTATATTGGCTTCAAACAAGGATATGGTCTCTTTCAATATGACTGGTCGCAGAAATTTGATCCCTGTCTGTAATATAACTTAAATTAGTTTACAGAGTGCTCAGTAAGTGACAAGAATAGCTTCTCTTCGAACTGATTCTGACAGTATTCTATATGATGCAGACAAACGCACCCTCTTCTAGCTACAAATACCTCCTAAAACCTCCCTCGTCACAATGTAACCATATCGATGGAGAAACCGCCTAAGGAGGTATTCTAATTTTTGTCGCAGTGTGTTGGTACCTACGTTCATGAACTGTGAAAAATTCCTATCATCTGGCGTTAAAATATTTTAGTCGAAAAAGACATTGGAGGTAACACTATTTCCACGTATTCGGTATCAATTTGCAGAACTAGTTTTTACATCGTGCTGGCCCCTTTCTGAATGTATAAACAGGAATGGGTACATGAGTTCATGGAGTGATCACTTAATACTAATAGAGTGTCGCATAGAAACTACGTGGATGGGGGGAGCGGTGCGGCGCCACGCCACAAGTCAAATTGTGATAACAAATTGTTCGAAATTTTTTATCACAGTAGGGCATCGCGTCAAATCTTCAATACCCTTACCGCCGTAGTTTTAGAACTACGTGCGCTGTACAAATGTATTCCTAAACAACCCATCGCATCGGTTTCTGAGTCCAACATAAATTTGGAATCAACAGTAGCCTCTCTTCAGAAAAAGCAAGCTGACCTTCACCCGCTTTAAAAACAACGTGTGTGCCCTTATTTTCCCTATGCACATAAATGTATTTCCAGAAGAGCCAGAATTTATAGTTCCAAATTGCAAAATGCAGTTCATTTGTTCGAGCTGATTTTGATCAATTTTAGGCAGAGGCCGAGCTCAGAGCCGTCATTCTAAATTCACGTATCTCGAGGAAAAAATGTTTATTCCACTGCAAAATATGTACCTCGGTTGCTCCTTCTTAATCCGAACAGTTAAAGTTTTACAATGGGTTCGAGACAAGGAATGAATTAAAGCACTACGCAACACATGTTCTGTCCATTTCTTGAAGAAAACCTATCCGAAAGGGGGGAATCTAGAAATCCTTTCCTCTAAAGCATTTGAGTTCTTACAATTTACTCTCGTTAAATAGCAAAAATACAAAAGACGACATTTGTTTGATTCAACTTCCATTTGAACTACATTAGAAAAACAAATCAAATTGTTGATTTCCGAGCCTCTCACTGTTTAACCTTTTTATACGTAAAATTTCGAAGGGAAAGCATGTCATGTGTAAACCGTGTCTGGGGGCCAATTGTACCATGAGCAGCAAAAACGGGGATTTTTGAGAGGATACACTGGGGGAAAAAAACACATTGGATCTAGAGTCCACTCTTAAAAACATCGACAATAAGAAATACTCTTGATTCAATCTGATTTAAGCTTAAATCAAGGACCAAGCCTCTTAATTTAAGCGGATTTCCTTTTGATTTAAGCTTAAATCTGCTTGAATCAAGAGTCCTTTTTCTCCAAGGAACCAAGGACCAAACCTCTTAATTTGAGCGGATTTCCTTTTGATTTAAGCTTAAATCTGCTTAAATCAAGAGTCCTTTTTCTTGTCAATGTTTTCAAGAGTCTGGACTCTACATCCAATGTGTTTTTTTTTTTTTTTTTTTTTTNTTTTTTTTTTTTTTTTTTTTTTTTTTTTTTTTTTTTTTTTTTTTTTTTTTTTTTTTTCAGTGTAAAATTGTACAAATTTGCGCTGACGAAAGTTCCAAAATACCGTGATAAGACCACCGCTTCCCTAAATATATTTTTATGAATCCCCACCATTGCTACCATCTCCTGCTCCTTGTCTTCTCTTTGCTCACAAACCCCTGACGACTGAGCTACTCCTTGTCTGTCTGCGATAGCGATCGTTGACGAGCCTCTGGAGCGAACGCGGATTGCTTGTGAACATCGTATCCCAACACCCGAGCCAGTGTCCGTAGGCCTCGAAGTTGAACGTGCATTTGCATTTGCCTCTCGCTTTGCACCTGCCGATCGTCCAAGGGTTATTGTGGTAGCCCGGATCTGTGCCGTAGGTTTGGTTACAGAACCTCTGGCAAGCCTCATGGTCGTCTCGCGACGGAGGGTTGTCCCTGCAAGGGTTCGTCTCTATGCCGGTGGTTATCCGCGGAATCCTCCTTTGGGCAAGCGGGGCCCCCTGTGCCCCTTGTGCCACCCCCGCTGCAGGCGGCTGTTGTTGAAGCCCCGACACTAAGACTGGTAAAATTAAGGTTGAAAAGTAAGATGAAGAAAAAATTTGATGAGATGTGCGAGACCACTAATAAAAAAATTAGTCTGTCAAGATAGCGGGCTGTCAATTAATTTATCGTTTTTCCATTCGCACACAGAAAAAAATGGATGGTGCTGACGACAGAACCTTTTGTTCATACGGCTCCCACAGTTTCTTTGTTACACTTACAGAACTTTTCTGTTGTGAGAACAGAACTTCTGTCGTGGGAACAGAGTACTCTGTTCCCACGTTTATATATTATTATTCTTCTTTGATAAATTTATACATATTTTTTACCATCAATTTAAATGAGAATAATCAATGCAGAGTGCTAACATTTCAAAATCATGAGTTAAAAAAAGCTAAATATTAAAGCCTAACAGAGCGGAGTGGCGTGCTGCAGCGCGAGGGGCTCACTGGCGCCTACAAACCTAAGTGGATACTTCACGCATTGCACAATGCTTGAAGTATCCACTTAGGTTTGTATAGGCGCGTTTCGCGCTGGCCGCGCGCCCGCCGTGCGGCGGCACCTGCTGCAACTATTTCACAACAGAGGTTTTGCACAGTGTTATACGAAATTGAACGTATTAAAAATGACAGGCATCCTGTAAAAGTACAGATCTTTCCTCGCAAAATAAATCAAGATACTTATCGTACACAAGCAAAATCTAAGAGCCTTTAGCTGAGGCAAATATAGAGGTTTATCCGGTTCAGGTATAACAAGGTGGGAATTTCTTGAAAGATAGTTACGTCCTGTTACACCAAAGAGGTGTAGAGAGTTTTAGTGAATTTTGTCTCATGGAATTGACGCTCCCCCATTTTTACCAAAACTCTCAACTATATATGATTCTCCGTTGGACCAAACACACAAAACAAAGAAACAAGCAAACCCTCATTCTTCCAGGACATTATATATTTTAATCCAAAAACGTCGTGAGCAATTGTCGTTTGTATTTACATGTGGGCCAATTAACTTTGGGTCTCAACTGGCACGTGGACCAAAACTCCCGTGCCGAAAAAACGCGTGGACGTAAATTACTGGAAAAAACAGGTGCGCGGACAGAAAATCGTTGACGAAATATCCTATAACCGACGTCATCTACAGAGGCAGTGCATACCATGGTCTCTTATAGCCACAGAGTTATGTTTACTTTAACTCTAAGGGTTGTCCAGCATGTGGCTGTTTGGAGTTTTACGGGAAGGAGGGAGAAGGTTGTGAGCATAAAAATGTCAAATTGACTTTGCAATTACACTGAGAAAAATATTTGTTGTTTTGTGTCACTTTCGGTTAAAATAGGAGATGAAACACAAACTGACCTAAATTTTGTGTTTATTTTGATACATCATCGAGAATTAAATTTCGGTTACAAGGACTGAACCTTAGTTTAAAAAAACCATCAAAGTTTTAAGTTAAGGTATTCGAAGTTTTCAGCCCTACAAGAACCAAACTTCTATTCAGATAACTTAAGTCTGCAGTGAAGAATCTGAGCTCTAGTATTGCTGTAGCTAAAACTTCAGTTAGCTGGGCTGAAAACATCCGTCTTCCATATGAACCGAAATGTTTTCTCCATATGAGATTGTGCCTCATTTAACACAAGAAAACTTCAGAATCAACCAAAGGTATGGGTTTCTTTGTGTTCCACCTCCCATATAAACCGAGCTATGTGTGTTACGTTTCTTTCAATATACGCACGGTTTTTCAGGCGGACGACTCCAAAAAGGTGTGCTTTTAACTTGAAATAATATTCACGTAACACCGCTTTAAGCATGAAGTGTTAAAAGATGCATTTAGACATTCTTCGCGGGATCAGACAATTTTCAGAAATTTTAAAAGCTTCTTGAATGGTGGTTTCGTGAACTTTTGAGGATCTTTAACGAGTAGCATCTAGAACAATGACCTTACATGCGTCATACAGGTCTATTTAGACAACCCTTGGGCATGAGTATTTCCAAAATGCCTTGTAATTTTGCAACTAATAACCCACATAATATGAAAAAGAAAAAAACAAGTGATTTTATCATTTTAAGCGGAAAAAATGGGGAGAAATCACTCGTTTTCCAATGAAACGAAGAATTGAATTAATCGAAAAGTTATTAATCCTTACAATGTTGAGACAGTATGATGAGAGACGCGAGGGTGCAAAAGTGCGAGTGCAGTAACATCTTGAGATGTATCCAGTTCCGGTTATCTCAGCCTTGTTCAATGAGTCCACTTTTAAAAGTAATAGGATCTTCAGGCTAATGTCACTACATAGCAGTTGAAAAAAGTTGAAGTTAACCGTTTTCTCACTATACCTTTCACGACCGCGCCGTGAAAGGAACTTCGTTGCACTATACTGGAATCCTACACTCCTCTTCCCCATTCGTTGTGCATACCTACGTCAGCGCGACGGTCGATAAAAATAAAAAGCGCCTCTCTTTTTTCCATTAGAGCGAGAGATGAGGGCAAATCTCTTCGGTCGAGAACACGTATCTCGATTTCGAACACAACGGATGGGAGAACCAATCTCACGATGAGGCGAAACACTTTATTTTTTCCTACGTCCTTTTTTTTTTCCTTTTAGAATTTATTTTTTTGGTATGTAGGTTTCAACCTTGCACGCAATTGCCATTACAGGTACGTCATGATATTCAACCAACTCTCAATTTCACGCAAGATGGGAGGTTTTTTTTCCTCTCAAGTTTCCGAGTGTCTAGAGTACTAACAAGTGAAGCACTGGGTGCAGAGAAGACACTACTAGGTTGCGGTGTCTCAGAATCGCTGCTAATATTTCATCCATCATGATCAAAGAAAATGAATATAATTCGTTGAAACTATTGCCGAATAATCCTAATGCTTTTACAATGCTTTAAAGAATAAATTTCAGGAGCTTCACCCAGTAGTTTCCGCTTCAAAATATAAATTACCAATAGTGACTCTGAAACACCGCAACCGGGATTTTACTCATTTTTTTGGTGTTCACCCTCTGCATTCCTCGCCCTCAGGCAAAATTCCATACCTACTCACGCGTAAGGCCATTCTGCTGTGTGCCAAGGAAAAACGCCGTATGAGCCTCCAGGCGTTGCCAAATTTCCTCTGGCAAATCACTTATTTCCGGGAAATTTTTTGAATATTTCCCCGCCAATTTCTCAGATAATTTTGTTTGTAATTTGATTTAAAGGGTCTGAATATTTCTAGGAAAAATATTCATAATTTTCCTCAAAATTAAACATTTTATCCAACAATATTTGGCAACTCTCGAATAATCATACGGCGTTCTTCCTTAGCACGGCAGCTTTGGACCTTATAGCGTTTTTTGTGTTCAATGACATTCTTCGCTTCAACACCTTCCGGTCCATTTTCTAAAACCCACATTTCTAATAATACTGCCCTTCTGAGGAACATGACTGATTAATAATCGATGGAGACAGTTTGGAGCAAATCATTTTGTGTCATAAGCGAGGTGAATGAATCATGCATTGAGTCTCTCATACAATGACGTGAGTATCGGACGTCATTTCTCATTTCTCAACACTAGGACAGTACTGTCCTGCTAATGGAAAACAGTGTACGAACGCACTGAAATGTTTTCAGAATCTCCTCTAATGAACCCCTTATTTCCTGGAAGACTAGAATGAATTTTTTTACGCACTAAGTGGTTGAGGCACAAAAAAATTGAGAGACTTTCTAGGAAAAGAACAGCACCAAAATCACGGAGGCCTTCCAAAAAAGTCAAAGATTACCCTTTTCATCGCAAGTTGCGTTGTCCGTATCACGTGCTCTGAAAGTGTTCCGATGCGTGCATACTTGCTATGCCAGAAATTGGAGAGAAAAAATTCAAATCGATTTTTGCCCTGGGCAAAATTGTAGCCACGTCAAAATTAAAGAGCTGCAGCTGGACAAGAAAAGGTAGTTTGGGCTCCCATCATGATCGCATTGATTGAAAATCAATTACCTCTCTAAACGCTCTTTATTTTTAACTACCCTGATTCAACTATTCAACCGCATTCCCACCGCAAACCGGCTTTAAACTAATCCAGTAAGCAATGGGGCCTGGGCCAATGATTTATCCAGTCGCTAAGCAACCGATTTCAGCGAGCGAGCTATTCTGCCGTGATATCGGAGCAAGCTTCTCTCAAAATTCTCGAATTTGAGTCTCCTCCGAAAATCGTCTAAATCTCTTTTAACTGAAATCGCTGAAACATTTAAAACAGTACGATCTCCTAATTTGTATGAGAACAAGACATACGAGAAAGGCCCCTCTCGTCTAGGAAATAGCAGGGTTGCCACAGTCAGAGAATACCGAGCGAGAAAACCGGGAAATGTCAGGAAAAATGAAGAAAATGGGTGGGAAAAAATTGATAAGCACAGTTTTTTGCTCTCTAGAATGGGTGCATGTGACGTTTCAAACAACATATTTTGCCCGAAAACTATATGTAATAGAGAATTTGCAGGTGTCTGAAATTTGATGAATTTCTTATTATTTAAGTAGAAACTACTGAGTGAACTAAGCACGAGGAAGCCCTTGGTTCATGAATTGAACAATTAAGCTGGAGAAGATATGACAAAAGGATCGAATCTACTAAAATACGTGTGTTTAAATGGGAAATGCCGCCAGATGACTCACAGGCGGTGCATTTTCTCAATTTTAAATCTATTTTTATACTATTTCCCACATCAGAAAAAAATTAAAAAAAAATACTGTGAAATCAGCTCTTTGAGCACTTCCAGATGAAGCAATAAAAAATTGTCATGCAAATTCTCCATTATGTGTTCATGACCATCTGGCACATCTTCATTTGCCTGGGCTTTTCACCAAAATTTGTCAGAGAAATCGGGGAAATGTGAGGGAATTCCATTTTCTAGATTTGGTGGCAACCCTGAACAAGGAATGGTAGAATCGGGGACCCGAATCGGCGGGACAGCATTCGAGCCGGATTCAGGATCTGGCAGCGGTGTTATCGTGGGTGGGGCCAAGTTTGGCAGCTTACGCTGGATCCCGGATTAGCATGATACTCGGCCCCGATTCGCTTGTTACTGGTGACCAAGCTGTTTGTCAATTATTCACCGATTTGTGTTGGCCCCGATATAATTCATCAGCGCGGGCCACTCCGCCCCCGCACGAAGCCGCAACCGCCCCGGCTCGCGGCAACGGAGCTTCCTCGCGCTCCCACGACGATGTAACGGATAACGAACCCACGGGCAACGAGCCTGTTTTCAGGTACCTCCTCAAATATACATGCGCATCCGCGCCGTAAGGGCTTATTCCGAAATTGTCATTTACTTGCATGACGTATCGGCCATGGAACTTCACCGAATACAAACCCCCTTAACCACTCAGCCGTGCTAAGGAAGATCACCGTACGAACATTCGGGAGTTGCCGAATTCCCCTTGATAAAACCTGTATTTTTGACAAAATTCATACATATTTTTCCTTGAAATTTTCAGATATTATAGATAAAATGGACGTATTTATATCAGACGGACCTAAGCGCCATAGGGGAAGGAAAGGAGAGGGGGGCTTGGATTGGCGGGTGTTGCGGAACGCGATGCTCGCTCCTCCTATACTCGCAATGCTTTTCCGTGGCGCTTAGGTCCGATTGACAGAACGCGCTATCCGGGATTCTAAAACCTTCAAAAGGAACTCAATTTGGCGCTTAGTTCCGTTTGACAGAAATACGTCCAAATTGTGTACAAAATTGTCTGAAAATTTGAGAAAATAATATTCATAATTTTCCCAGTAATTACGGTTTGCTCGGAGGAAACTTGGCAATGCCTGGTGGTTCATACGGCGTTCTTACTTAGCACGGCACTCCTAACAACAGAGACCTCTCTAATTCAATAAAGGCCCGTTCAAGTATTACATGACGCACTTAGAAGAAAGGAGGAGTTTGAACCAGCTATACGATGCNGGGGGGGGGGGGGGGGGGGGGGGGAGGTCAAGCCTAAAGTTGCATAACACATTTAGGGGGATAAAAACATTGTAAAAAACGTTCAAGACATTGAAAATACTGCCCATCCCGAATGAATGTTTTCGAAAGAAGGGAGGGGGGTCAGGGCAGCGTTACGTTCTTCAAAAGGGGGGTGTAGGGCTGCGTTGAGGGTGCGTTACACGGGGGAGAGGGGGTCAACAAATCGGAAAAATTGCTTTGCGTAGTACTTGATCGGCCACTAACCTCTCCCTTTCCGTTTATAGATACCTACACACTGCACAGGATGAAAAGTTTTCTTAGATTTCGAAATTCACTTATGATTCCAGGATTTTACGTATACCTGGAATCTTCTAAACTGTTCGTGACTGCTCTGTGTGTGTGTGTTTTTTTTTTTTTTTTTTTTTTTTTTTTTTCGTCAAGATTTCTCATAAAACATTTTTTCACAAAAAATGTTAAGGAAGTTTCTTTTTAAATTGAAAAAATTGCATTTTTTGCCTTAAGGATAGATTTAAAAATTCTGCTCCAAATTTCTCTGACTTTTTCCAGATTCTCTGAAGTTAGTGAATTTTTTTAGTTGTTCGGTTTTTCTAACTTTTCAAGAACTTTCCCTTTTGCAGTAGACTTCAACTAGTTCAAACCGGGGGGGGAAAAAAACTAAAAGCCGCTGAAAAAAAAATCAAAAACGCTGACACCAACACTGACATTGGATATGGTCAGACCACATGAGCTGACTACATAGAAAGCGTTCATCACGCGACTGTACCGTGAACGTTCCAATGCAATTAAATTTCCTCCAACGACGCACGTACTTTTTTAAAGACTATGAACACTTCTCTCGGAAATTTCAATGGCACTAGAATAAATTGCGGAGTATGATCAGTAACAGATTCAAAAAAAAACTGCCACAAGTTTTTCAGAAAATTTATGTTTTATCAGGAGAAATTTGGCATCGTCTGAATTTTCAAAGGTCACGCTTCATAAACAAGACAGAGCAATAGCAGTAGAGTCTCTTCATTAGAACAGTGGCATGGCGTAAATGATCGTTAATCGAAATTTCCCCGTTAACATCTACGGTGAAGAGTCGATTATTAAGGTGTTTGTTGCGAACACCCTATTATCGATCCTTTCATAGGTTTAAATGGCAAATCAATCGATGTATCGCAAAGCACGCCATGCTTCTGTATTGGAAGAATACATACGCGCACCTGAGATAAAGAGGAGTAAATTAAAATGAGCCTTTTTCATAATCATAAGGGGCACGTTTACTCACTAAAACAGTTGATAACCCTGAAGAAAAGCTACACTTGCAAAATCCATCAAGTGGAACCGAATAATATCTGCTCATCAAAACTCCTCATACAATTCCCCTTCTTTATTCTCTGAAATCGTCCCACGAATATTTAACTTTTTTTCCGATAAAACAAAAGAACTCTGAAACAAAGCAAC